CAAAATATATAAGAGAATCATATGGAAAAATTTTTAAATCTCTTCACATTCACATTTCAGGTATTACAGAAGCTTTTGAAGACTATTTGGGAACATTAATTTTATTCCTTAAGAAGCTCACATTAAATTCATCCTATAAAAATACTTACAAGGTTACCCAATGCTGTATTTAAATGCAAATCTATTTAGCACATAGCAAGGTTTAGACTTAACATTGTATCTACAGAAAACTGAAAATAGGGAAAAAAATGCTCTGGAAAAAAACCAAAATATAAATATATTGTCACTTCCAGCAAATGCGCTTCTTTAAAACTCTGGAAAAAACATTATTGGAATCATTACAAGAAAAAAATAATCAGTCACCATTATGGAAATTTTGATGCTAACTGATGCTGACCAATAATATAAACATTTAAAAAATTTTAATTTTAACTGAGCCTTATAAAAATATATTATCTCCAACATTTTAACTTATGTCATATCTTGTTTTGCTATTGCCCAAATACATGTAATTTCCCTGGTGAAACTAGTATCAATATACTGATTTCACAATCAAGGGCACAGCTCAGTGATGGTGCATTTGCTTATTATTAGCATGTGCAAGAACCTAGGTTTGATCCTCAACACACACACACACTAAAACAATATGAATATATGAATGCTGCTTTAATAAGACCAAAAAGGTTGCTACCTTGTCCCAGTCACTCGTTTATAGTTATCTTTGGAGTGGACTGCTAAAATACTGACTCCTGAACCAATGTTTACCACCAGCAATGGATAGGGATCATCCAGGTTAAAAGGCATCTTTTGGCATCGCTCAGGTTCTGAGGCATTAGCAAAATAATAGCACTCTGCTTGTCCATTGAAACTGACAGAATCTATATACAACAAGCCCTTTACAAGGCAGTCAAGTTCATCCAGTTTGTGCAGGTGGAGGTTTCCAATCTGTGAAAAAAATTAACAAAAATTTGAAAAAAAAAAAAAAAAGAACAACATTCAAAATACCCGACTTGACTATATTGTATAATTTTCACATACTCTACAAAATTTCATTACCATTACTCCCATACTTTCATTTATTTTTGTTAGTTTAGTGTGAAAATTCCTCAGATTTTTATCCTTTGACTCTCAGTTGAGAGCAGTATTACCTCTGGGGGCATTTTAGTTTTCAAAAGATGAGGAGAAGGCAGGCACCAAACTGATATTTAGCCAGACATTGCAATGATAGAACAGTTCTGCAGAAAAACAAAGCATCATCCCATTGCTGCACTTTCTTTAACTGTTTTGTCAGACATTTTTTGTGGTGGCAGTAGGAAAATCTATTTATGATTACCTGGGTCTATGTAAGCACAAAGAGTATATCCACTTACCTCCCTACCTAATATGTATAAACCCAAAGAATTCTTCACATGGTAAGGAATATTCACTAGGCTCAACTGTGCCTCTGCTGTTTGGAATTTTAATGTCATTCAGCATATTGGAATATGATGTCATCAAAATCAATGCCACTTATGGAGTTGATTCTCCAATAAACATACCATAACCATCTGGCATTTGTATCTTTGGTATTGTTCATGATGAATCTACATATAGATGCAAACACTAACTACTTCATTTGTCCCCTGGTATGATCATATCACCTAATCTCGTACTGATATGAAAACACCATAATTTTCTGTCTTTATATTATAGTTTGAGTCTGTCTTTGAAATTCATTTAAGGTTAGGAAATAAAGTACTACAATGTATGGAACTTTTACTTAGAATTTACTTGTCTGTATGGTCTAGAATATCATATTCTTGAGTAATAGATACTTACTGTGCGAAAATCTTCTTCAAACTTGTAGGCACCACCTCCTGTAGCACATAGCACCGTTTGTAATGTTGAGAAGTTTTTGTCTCTTCCCATTTGGATAAAAGTAGGCAGGTCATGGGTTGGAAATCTGATAAAGTGCAAGTTCCCTCTTCGGCCAAAAAGTGTTAAATTCTTCAGTTCAAGGTGTACATCCCGAATGCCAGTGGATCCATATGCTACATTAGAAGTCAAATATTTCCGAATACTTTTTAAGCTCTCAACTTCCTCTTGTTCTTCCTCTGCTGTGATATCAATAGGTTCAAAATATGAGAGCTTTACTAGAGTTCCCCCAATGTCCATTCCAAACCATGGGAAAGCTGTGAATTAAAAAAATAATAAAAATAAATATATACCTTGATACCAAAAAATGCAAATTAGGAAAGAGTAATCAGTCACAAAATTCATTTATCCTGAATCATGCATTCAGTCAAAAATGATGCTACCACATATAACTCACTTTTCAACTTCAGTTTTATTTGTACATTTTCTAAAATCTTATACTTAGAGATGGCCCAGGGCCTTTTCATTCCTGCTCTGATAGGCACTCCTTTTCATTTATTAAATACTCACCACATGCCCCAGGAAACAGGAAGAATCTGAACTAATTTTGTTTCAATAAATAGGTCATCTCACCTCAGGCTGGAACAGCTTTCTGTTTCTAAAAGACTTTAGTATAATAAAATTGGTCCATAAGCATGTCAAGTAACTCATGGGAAATATGCTCTCTTAAAAAGAAACCTTTTTCTTTGCTTGTTGAGCGTTACTAAATTTCCCTGGTACATGTGGTTAATAATGCTGAAGGCAAGTCTACTCAGGGACAAGTACATTAAGACAGTATCATTCAGGTCTGGAACTGAGCTCTCACTAACTGGGCTATATAACACTGAAAAGCCATTTATTAACATCTCTGAATATTACTTTCCTTAATTCCCTTCAGTAAATAATTATTAAGTAGCTACACTACCTCTGGTAATAAAAAAGTAAAATGAGTAAGAAAAATTTTCTGCCCTCCAGGAGAGTTTAATCTAGCAGAGGAATATAAATACAAACACACAAGAGAGTCAAAATAAAGTTACATATACAGTACTGGCCAACAGAAGGAATTCTAAATTCTATGCCTCTATTTAAATGTAAAGGAATGAAAACAATAACAACAGTCTATCCAAAGGCAAATAGGAATAATTCAATATGGTTAGGTAATCAGGGTTGGGGATACAGCTCAGTTGGTACAGTGCTTGTTTCGCATGCATAAGGCCCTGGGTTCAATCCCCAGCAAAAAACACACACACACACACACACACACACACAAATATCCTTATGGTTAGGTAATCAGGAACACTGAAGTTCAACAGACAGGGCCCAATCACAAAGGGCATCTCAGGTTAGGCAAAGGAGCTTGAACTTGAATCTGGACAATTCAGGGCACTGTACATGAATTCTCAGCAGGAAAGTAGTACTGTCTGGCTACAAATTAGAAAGCTTATTTAGTGGCAGGGGGTAGCAAAGACAAGAGGTACTTAAGATGTTGCTGGAAAGAGAGGCCAAATTATCTTACATCTAGTAGAACAAAACCTACCTAGGTATTAATTCATAAATGACTCTGCTTTAGCTGGATCTACACAGCATTTGAGAATCACTGGTTTTGGTCACCTCATCCCTCATGCTATGACATTCAGTTCTATAATGTGATTTTCTCACATTTATCAGTCATGATCCTTATATAGGTACAAGGTAATATTTTGTTTAAAGCACAACTGTTTTAAGTTTCCATAAAAAACTAGAGTTGACTTTACTGAGTATTCATTATATGTCATAAATATGCTAATGTATGTATGGGCTCATTCAACCTTCAACATCCCTATTATAAAGTTGTTCTAGTGTGTTCACATCACGGATGATACACATCACAATCTTGCTTAAAGTCAAACTTATAAAGTGACAGAGACATTGTAATGAAAAAAAAAATGACAGGATTTCACCCTAGAAAAGTCTATTTCTGCTTTCTCTAGTATCTCAACCACTATGATAGAGAATCAAAAATAATGTAATAACTAAGATACATGGATCACAAAATGCTTGACAACAAAATATTAAACAGTTTTTATGTGAAAATCGTCAAAGAAAATTCTAAAATTCTATTGTTTCTAAAATACATTTTACTGGGCTGGGGATGTGGCTCAAGCGGTAACGCGTTCGCCTGGCAGGTGCGGGGGTGCTGGGATCGATCCTCAGCACCACATAAAAATAAAAGATGTTGTGTCCATCAAAAACTGAAAAATATTTTAAAAATTCTCTCTTCTCTTCCTCTCTTAAAAAAAATAAAAATAAAAATACATTTTACTTACTTGATACATGTGTAACATTAGAAAACAGGAAAAATTATTAACTAGAGGATTTTATACATTTCTGTATTCCAAAATTTATACATTTATTAAAATTTGTCTAATTGCTTTGGCTAGAGTTTCAAGAATGGTGTTGAATAGAAGTGGTGAAAGAGAACATCCTTGTCTTGTTCCAGTTTTTAGAGGAAACGGTTTGAATTTTTCTCCATTTAGAATGATGCTATCCTTGGGTTTAGAATAGAGAGCTTTTACAATGTTGAGGTATGTTGCTACTATCTCTAGTTTTCTAGAGTTTTGAACATGAAGGTGTACTATCTTTTTTCAAATGCTTTTTCTGCATCTATTGAGATAATCATGATTCTTGTTTTTAAGTCTATTAATATGATGGATTACACTTATTGATTTCTGTATGTTGAACCAACCTGCATCCCTGGGATGAAAACCCTTCCCTTGATCATGGTGCACTATCTTTTTAATGTTTTTACATGTAGGGATAGGAAGGATAGTATAACAAAATAGACATTATTATTTTATGTATATATGTGACTGCATAACCAATGTGATTCTACAACATGTACACTCAGAAAAATGAGAAATTATATCCCATCTATGTATATCGAAGTACACAAATGCATTACACTATCATGTATAATTAATTAAAACAAATAAATTAGTGATTTTGAATGTGAGAAATAATTCCCATTATCTTCTGGAGAAAAAGCTTGTTTTTTTTTTTGTTTGAAATCCAAACTGAAAATTGAGAGCTACATTAAAAACAATCAAAAAACGAAAGTCTTTTTGTCTGGGGATATAGCTCAGTTGGTAGAGTGCTTGCCTTGAATGCACAAGGCCCTGGGTTCGAGCCCCACTACCACCACCACACACACAAAAAAGGCTTTTTAAAAATAAAATGACTTTACATGCTTGGGAAGCATGGAGGAGTAAAATTCTAAACAAGCAGTTTTACATCACCTATATAGACTGGTGTAGATAAGCAACATATGCAGAAGAATTTGACTGAATTTCCTCAATTTTGTAAAGTTGCTAGAGATGGAATCTATCTTAAATGAATAACACACTCTGGAAACAAACAGCAGGCATTTACAGAAACCATATAGTAATGTATCCACAGGTATAAAGAAAGGTGGTATCACTAAGTTTTGTTTTCAGTTTATTCATGAAATCTAGAATTTCTACTTTAAGAAAGTCATGTAGGTTGGGTGCTGTGGCAGTGGTCAAATCTATGAAACCATGTTAGAGTTTGTAAACAAGTCAGGATGGCGCCTGGCATTTTGACAGGGGGAGTGGTTTGTGAGGTGGCGCCAGGGAGCCATTAAGTGTGGAGATTTCTTATTGGTTGACTGCTGTATCTAGTTTATGTTAATTAAGATAAGCTGTGTGGAATGTATATATACCCATCCTGTCCTACAATAAACGGCTCCCACTCCTGCTGTATCAATGTACACAAGTTGTTCGTCACCCCCAGTTACTTTGCTGCAGCTGGACTGCAGCAAAACCAGTGACTTGGGAGGACAAGACAGGAGAATTGCACGTTGGATGTCCCCAACTGGGCAACTGAGTGAGACCCTGTCTCAATATTCAAAAATGTTAAAAGAGTAGAGGTGTAGCTCAGAGGTAGAAAAAAAAATTAACTTAAGAAGTTACAGATCACTTCCCTGACCCTAGCCCCTACCCTTTGTTCCAATAACCAGTAGTGGGAAACAGTAATACTAACAGAAGGGGAAATCTACATCAATTTGCTGTGAAACACACTCAAAAGAAAACAAGAGCGGATACACTGATGCACTGGGTAAAACAACAGAATCTTTCTGAAATCACCTAACAAAATGAATTCTATCCGTGCGCAGTGGCCCATGCCTATAATCCCGGTGGCTCAGGAGGTTGAAGCAGGAGGATTGAGAGTTCAAAGCCAGCCTCAATAATTTAGTGAGGTGCTAAGCAACTCAGTGAGACCTTGTCTCTAAATAAAACAAATAAATAAATAAATAAGGCTGGAGGTGTGGCTCAGTGGTCAAGAGCCCTTGAGTTCAATCCCCGGCACACCCCCCACCCTGAAAAAATGAATTCTGATTGACACTTGATTCTATAAAATTTCACTGGAGGGGTGGAAATCACTATTGCCACATAAAAAAACATTTTGTAATAAGATATTTTCTACCTGGTGAGATACCATAAAGCCAAATACCTATTTTTCAAAATTCAAAGCACATTTAAAACCAATAATTATGGATTTTTTCTCTGTGCCTAATGTCAAACAAAAGTGTCAGATATATTCTGTATACCATACAAATAGAAAAATGTCACCGAGGGTATCAACTACAAAGACCTAGTAGGTTCAAAGTTCATGCCATTTTTATTCTCAGCCAGAAGCGCTAGGCCCCAGGTTTATTAATACCCCAATATGCATGTTTTTGAAAGCAACCCTCCAGCTCAACAGTTCCATGAAGAACTTTTAATTCTTATACAAAACCATGAACTAAAGTTCAAAGGAAACTGTCTAGACAAATATTTCAAGTTTAATAAATACTAGGGAACAAGAAATAATCTACTTTTCTGTGGCTATGAATGGGTAGCCAGGTTTCTGACTTATACTGACTACCCACCCCATCATGCATGCAGTGAAGTGTTTATAAAGACACATGTACAGAAGATGACTCTAGAGAACTACTGGAAAATGTTCAGGAGAGTGTTATTTCAGTGCATGATGGTGACCACTCTATAATTCTTGTGGCGGTAGAAAAGGTGATTAAAAACACTCAAACAGGCAGCAGAAAGTCTCATTTGTATATGTGATTGGTCCCTCCCTCTGTCTCCCTATTGACAACAATCCTGTTTTTTAAAGTCTGTTTTTTAAGTGTTAATCTGCTTACTCTTTCACAGAGAAAGAAAACCACTGCTTAGGTTCAATTATCATTAAAATAGCATGACCTGGTCCCAAATTTTAAAAAAAGGGTCCAGGATGTAGTTCAGGGGTAGAGTGCTTGCCTACCATACACAAGCCCTGGGTTTGATCTCCACTGTGTTGTGTGTGTTGGGGGGGGGGGGACTAAAAATAAGAATAAAGTTATGTTATTACAGCATGTTAAATCTGTTGTTCAGATTTATGATAACTTTCTTTTTTAAAATCAGGAAGGTAGGGACTGAAAACAGAACTCATCCCTGCCACTAGCTTCAATTAAAAAAAAAAAAAGATGGTAAGAGCTACCTTTTACATAGATTCTTTCAACTTAGCAAATTCTGGAATTCGTTTCCTTATGCCAGAGAAATAATCATAGTTGGGCAAGGTGGCTCAGGAGGTCAAGGCAGGAGGATCACGGCTTAAGGCCAGCCTCAGCAACAGCAAGGAGCTAAGCAACTCAGTGAGACCCTGCCTCTAAATAAAATACAAAAAGAAAAAGCCATGTGGTTGAGTGCCCTGAAGTTCAATCTCCAGTACCCCTCACCTCCCCAAAAAAAGTCTCAAGAGGAAGGTAACAAGGACACAAAAGACAAAATCTCAAACATGATCCACTCCCACCTGTTGGGACCTTTTACCTCCCTTGGGACCGCGGCCATTATTGGGTGTTGGCTGAGGCTGACTCATGGGTTAGCATTTCCGTATCTGTGACCTGGCTGGATTGGTGTTCGCAGGCTAAAAGCCCGCATGGGCTTTTAACCTTAGTCCCACCTAATGGTTTAATCTGAAATCTGCCTAGGCCCCTTAGTGATAGTGACGTAACTGCCCCTTATTGATTCTTGCTACTGTCTTTTCTTACTCCCTCCTATCACTATATAACCTTGTCCCTTACACAATAAAGTTGAGATTATTGCACCTTCACGGCATCTCCCGATGTGATTGTGGGCCAGGTTGGATGGCGGGCTGGGTCGAGACATTTAACCCTCTTGCTCAGCCCAGGAGACACTAGCTGGTTTAGTGAGCTTCACTACCCCTGTCAGAGGGCGGTTCCGACAGCTGGTGCCTCGGAGATGATAGGCTCGTCTCCCATGTACCCTTGTCGTGAGGGGGCGATACCCAACATTTAGCAACTTCTGTATTTTCTAGTGGATTTTAGTACGTGGTATTGGGGATTGAACCAGAGATTAAAGCAGTACTTTACTGCTCAGATACATCTCCAATCCTTTTTATTTTGAGACAGATTCTCAGCTAACCTCCAGGCTGACCTTATGTGATTCTCCTGCCTCAGCCTCCAGTCATGTGTATCAGTACACCTTTCCAATATATTATGAAAATCCTTACCTTACCATTTTGTGTGTGTGGGGGGGGTGGATTTAAGGGAGGGAAATGAAACTCAAAGCTTTGTCAGTTATAATGAAAATAAGGTAAACATAAGGGCATTAAGTACAACCATCGGCCCAACTAATAAGAGCTCCATGAACTAAGAAAAATAACAATTTCCTAAGAAATCAAGGAAGTACATCTACAGCTTTGCCACTTCAGGCTAACAGACAGAAAGGACAGTTTGAAGGTGATCAGTGCATAAGTAGCCTAATTACTGCATATAATCTAAACATTTCTTCTTTTTAGATAAAACAAGTGAAAAAAAATACCTATCTACAGGGCTGGGGTTGTGACTCAGTGGTAGAGCGCTTGCTTCACATGTGAGGCACTGGGTTGGATTCTCAACACATATAAATAAATAAATGAATAAAATAAAGTTCATCAACAACTAAAAAATATTAAAAAAATATATTTACAAAGCAAGCAAAACACAGTCCATAAATATAAATAAGCACTGTTATTCAGCCTTCAAAACAAGTAACGGCTTTTATTCTATGTCTCAACTGGTCGCAACAGAGAGCTGCCATTAGATCCTCACACACAACAAAAATACCCCACCACCACAAGTACAGAGTGCTACCAAGAATTATCATCTTCCTTACCAGGTAGGTCATGTCCACAAATGGAAAAACTTGCATGCCCAATTACCCTTTCAAATGATTAAACAGAAGATATCTCCAGAAGGACAGACAGTAAATTTCTAACAAGTCAAGTTTGATATCTTATTAAGGAGGTAGGGGAAAGGCACTGAAGAGCTGTTTAACTACTACTGATTCCATGCAGATTCCAGCCCAAAGGGATCCTATATCAAAACAGAATTTAAACTTAGACATAAGGAGAACCTAAATACTAAAAATATTCAAATCATTATGGGGTGTTTTAAGGAACAAAAATCTAAAATGGACATATCTAGTAAATTTCAGATATGCTTTGAGTTCTTAAGATAAAAGATGTTTCACTTTTTTATTTTTAGTTGGACACAATATATTGATTTATTTTTATGTGGTGCTGAGATCTGGAACCCAGGGCCTTGCATGTGCTAGGGGAGCGCTCTACTGCTGAGCCACAACCCCAAAGATGTTTTACACTTAACAATCACTGCTGATAAAAACTGTAGCGTTTTGTGAGAGACTAAGAAAACACCCAATTTCTCAAACCTTCAGTATTAAGATTCCTTAGTAAAACTTTGAGTAATTTTTTTTAAGTAAATTACTTATTTCTAAGATAGCCATATTGGAACCTATTAACTCCAAATGATTTTATTCTACTGGAAATAACAATTCTTAACCAAACTTACAAACAAGTGAAATTATATAGAAGCAGACTGCATATATATATATATGTTGTACAATTCTTTTGTGCTTAACAAAAACTTCAAAGCCCTTATCATCTGGGTTAGCAGAGCACCAATTTGAAACCCACACTATATGGCCTTTAAATATATTCATCACCTTTTTACTATCTATCACCTTGTTAATCCAGCTACACAAGTAAAACATTGAAAAATCTATATCTTAAGAAATCATATCAAGGGCTGGGGTTGTAGCTCAGTGGTAGAGCCACCTGCTTGGCATGTG